AATCATGTTTGAAAAAATGTATATATATATGATATAGTATTTGCATATATTAACAACATTGTTTCATAAGAAAGAAACAAACTCGAATTTTATATATAAATGATGAAAATCATTGGAAAACTTATCTTGAGTAAGTTGATTAAAGATACAAATTTGGGGTATAATAAATATAAAGTACAATTATAAATCAAATCTTAACTCTCACTTTAAATATAAGTAGAACAGAAGTCGGGCATTGGGAAAGCCAACATACCCTATCACATTGATATATCGTTTTTTTTTTTGACAGATGTATGCTAGTTTAAGGCTATAGCTTACATCAATTTATATTCATCTCTTTTTATTTTTAGCTTATAAAAGAAATAAGTATGTTCTAGAAGGGACTGACTGACTAGCATATACCCGAGTTGAATCTTAAATTAAAAAAATAATACCTTCTCTATATCATTCTTGTTTTTAAATAAAGATATCACTTTTAAGTCGAAATAAATAGATTAAACAAATAACATTGCATTTGAGTTCATTAACAATTCATTAATTGCATTTCCTATGCTCCACCTACGTGCATCAACATTTCATTTCGTTCCGTTCTGTTCCAGTTGGCACGCCCACGTGCGGTCGCCAGTCTGAACTCTGGCGAAACGTGAAATTCCATTTTGTTACGCTGCCCGCTGGCCGCTAACCGCTGTCTTTGCCGTCATGCTGAAACTGTTATTAGCGTCTAATGAATTTGTTTACGTTATTTGGAGATTTTAGTTGTAATATCCATTTATAAGTTCAGCATAGATACATCCAATCTCTGTCTCTCTTTCTGCTATTTCTCTCTGACGCATAATTAGTTTTTCCAATCACTTAACAGGAAATTAAGACAACTCACTGTGGGCGTATCGTTAAATAGCCGAAATGGCCCCTATCGCATAATCGTTAAGCTTTTTATAGTGAATTCTGCCATCAAGAAGACTATAAACTGTAGGCAGCAATCCCGAGATCCCGAGGAGGACAACAGCAATCACGACAGCAACAACAACAGTAAAAGCAACAACAACAACAACAACAACGGCAACATAATACGCAACATTTTGTGTAATTTTCGTAACGCAAACCATTTCCTTAATAAAGGTAAGTCATTCCCCGCCAGAGACAGCGGCTAGGAAAGACGCTGCGCTAATGCGTGCATAATTTTTAATAAATATTTCAAGATCTTGAAATGGCTGCAGGTCAACCTAGACTCCGGCTGGGCCGGACCACGGAGCTGTGCGGACAGCACAAACGCTTCCTGGTTTAATTATAAGATATTCGCACAGCGGCCCCTCGTGGGCTTCCAGCTTGTCAATCAACAACATTTCTGGACAGTGGCCAAGATGATTGTGATTATCATCTGCTGCATTGCTCGAACCGGCGACCGCACGCGGCTGCTGCCAGGCCGATTGCCTAGCCAAACACTTCCGTTTCGCCGGTCTTTTTCATTGGAGGCCATTGAACTCCTTCAGGGGCTGGGCATTGCTTTGGTTTTGGTTATCCTTCACAGCAGGCCGACAGGCGGGCAGGCAGACGGGCTTGCTGCAAGCCTAGCCTCAGCCCCGAAGCCGTCTCCACATTGGCTTATCGGCTGCTGCTCAGTCAGCGCTTATGTTGCCCACGTGTTGTGTCTCCGTTCGTCCGCCCGTCCGTCCGTGCGTCTGTCTTTCCGTTCTGGCCTGCTCGGCAGGTTTTCACAAATGAAAATTGTGCACTTTGTATGCAGAAAACTTGGCGCGCCGATAAAAATCTACATAATTCTGAGCTGTACGTTTTATAGCCGTTTCCTAGCGCGTTAATAAATGCAACAGACGATGCAGAGGAAAGCCGAAGGTAAGCCTGTATGTGTAGCTGCGCTGTAGCTATGTCTGTAACCTGTTGCCGCCAGCTGCTGCTGCGAGAGCCATAAAGGGCCATGCCCACAAGGTTCCAATGCACTCGAAAGTGTAATCATTATCAAGTTAAATGATAAATTATCTGCACCAAATTACACCATTTAAGTTGTCAAAGGAAATTATGAGGAATTATGCATGCGAAATTTTTAGTGCACAATATATTGCTCTCAATTTATCTTATTGTTAAAGCGACTTTTTTGTAAACTGAGATTCATGTTGATTTAAAACATTGCCAGAGATTCCACAAAGAGCCAGGGTTGCCAACAACATGCAAATTCAATTTGTTTTAATGGCACTCAACAGCCGATTGGAGATTTGTTCCCTTTCAAAAGCCTTAAAGGCTTCAGAGTGCTTAAAGAGTTTGATATATATTTAATGAAATATATCTTAAAAATTACAATTTTTCCACTTTTTTCTATGACGAATAGGGAAGGAATTTCAAGGGAATAAGTCAGTGAAAATATGCGAAAAGAGGTTTCATATGCTATAAATAATGTATAATAAAATGAGTGATCTCTTCTGGATCTAGGAATTATCTTAAATCAAAAGTTTTAATATATATTATAGAACAGTTTTATACCCTGAACATATTGACAATGGGAAATCAGTGTATAATGCTGTTGTCAAAATGTATATAACCGACAAAAGGAGGCGGGGCAGACTCCTTTAAGGTATATATAGAAAAGTGTATAAAGTATATACATTCTTCTTTTTAAGAGTCGTAATTGAGTTTTCAATCGCATTAAATTTGATTTTAATTATAGATTTAGCTAATAATTGATTAAAACAAAAATTTTTAAATATTGAGTGACCTAAAGAGTCAAGAAGAACCAGCATAATAAATTCAACTGAAAACTGAAAATTCAACAAGGACATACCCGTAGACATTATTCTGCATTCCAAATTCATTTTCTATCGATATTTAATTGCCAGAACATAAATAAGTAATTCGTTAAACACTGCTCAGGTTTTGTGAACTCGAAAACCTAATTACTTTTGCCACCAAAGAGAAAGCCCTGGGCATATTGAACAAGTTTCCAAACAAATAGCTTCTGGCCTTTGCAAAAAAAAAATTTCAGTTCAGGTTTGAGGTGCGGGCACATAGACTGAATAAATAATATCCGAAAGAGTGGTGCTGCATAGGCTGGCTAAAACAAATTGGCTGCACCTACAGCTGTAAACTGTGAAATGCTATAATTGCTCAAATGCAGACAGCAAATTACGGCTCGAAGGGTTTGGCGAATGGATCAAGAAACGGATCAACAAAGACAAACATAACAAAACGTAGTAGGTCACCCAGAGCTGGAAGCCATATTCATATTCGATAGTAGCCAAAAATATATAGATAAATCGATTCCTTTTCCGCACCTGACCGACCGAACGGGATTGCTGTGTGTTGAGTTTCTCAAACAATTTCACTACTCACATGAAAATTCCTAGCCACACCCATCGAAATCACTTGTTTGTCGTTAAGAGAGGATAGAGAGGGGAGAGAGAGCGTAGCACACATCCGGTTGATACGCTGAATGTGAATCTATGCAGCAATTGTTAATTAAATACCTGTCCAGCCATTAAAAAACATACGTAAATTTATGTTGTTAACAAGGAAATGCGCAATGCGCATGAACACACTTTTATTATTATCGTCGTCGTCGTCGTCGTCGACGTTGACGTTGCTTTGGCTGCAGTGGACACTTGTCCATTTCTAGAAAGCCCCCACTAGTTCTGCCTCCTACCCGCCCCAAGCCAAGTCGACAACGCTGGCCAGGCATTTGCATACAAGTATTTCGCGGCCTTAACGATGCGCTGAGTGCCGTCACGTCGCTACGTCATTCGCTAATTGGTCGAGATACGAATCGGCTGGAGAGGAATAGGCGTTGCCTGGTCCAGACCAGCAGCCGCAGTAACAGCAGCTGCTGTAGTACCGGGTACGGGTTTTGGTTGCCAGTGTCAGGGCCAGTGGCACTTTCTTTAATCGACCGGGCCGTGCTGTCAAATATTCGCTCAAGTGCTTTTGTCCCGCCAAGGCGAACAATTTGCTCTATGCAACGTTTGCTGCACGATAGACAATTGCAAATTTGGGAAAGTGAGCAGCCAATCGATCAGTCGCATATTTTTGTGCTTTGATTTCCGACTCAAGTCTAGTTCAAGAATTTCATAGGAATTCAACTGAGAAAGAAATTTGAACTTTTGCACTTGAGTCTAAATTTCTATCTACAAATTATATAAACGAGTCTCCTTCTCACTCGTTTAGAGTTTGTTTCACTTCTGCTAGAGGTAGAAACCCTCTCAGAGGTCGCAGTTGAAATTGTTGTTGATACTGAATGCTCTACCAATAAAAGTAAGTCTAAGTCGAAGTATACATTGATATATTTATGATCTGAGCATACAACACAAATACTTGTTTTACGAGTCAGCTTTTTAAGGCTGCAAATGTACTCCAGAAACATGAATTGAATGTAGTAACTAATTAATAAGAAAATATAATATTTATATAAAATGTGTATATATATTGAATACATATGTTTATGTCAACTACTGTCTGCAGCGTATAATAATTTCGCAAAAAAGAAACACATTTTTTATACGAAGTTAAGTTTGACATTTTCTTAAATCACTTTATCTTGCTGAAGTAATATGGAGAACAAGTGTTATTTTTAGTTCTCATATAATATTAAATAAATTTGGGGCTTATAAATATTACATATAGAATTGCTTATATCGCGTATAACAATAGACGTGTCCAAGTCTCATTACGAAATCAATTCTGTCATTAAGTTCTATAATAGAGTCGATTATTATTGTTTAAGAGCTAAGTTACTAATGAGTATGCGGATATATACAGACATGCCTATATCTACGCGGCTAATGATACTATACTATATATACTCAATAGACGATTCGTGATCAAAAAACTTTAATCGCCCTTAACGGGGCTTAAAATGCTCAACGCGCAAAAGCTCGTCATATGGTTCTCTTCCTGCACAAAAGATTTAGTTGCTGGTTATCTTCAGAGTAGCAAATGTTTTGTTCGCTATTCACAATATATTCTTAGGTAATCAACATTTAAATCAATCTTAAACTCACCTTAGTTCTATACAATGGATTCGAGAAGTCCCAATCTGGTGCCACAAACAAGTAGCCACATTTGGACACCTTGCGTGATGCCTGAAAGCGGAAACAAATGATCATTAATTATCAAATACAATAAAAATATAATTTGTTTACTGAAAGTGGAATTGAATGATTCACTATAAACGCACACATGCTAAAAGAAAACTGTAAGCTTAAGAAGTGAAGTTAATAATCTTAAGGTCAACTCGAATCCTTTCTTACCATGGAATCTATTGCTATTCATGGCAATATATAAGTATGAGTTGCTGGTTCTATGACTAATGCTAATAAAATGCACCAGAGTTAATTATGTGTGAAGTGTTTCAGCAATTTTGGGGCTCAGCAAATATCATTTAAGGCACACACGCTTAACGTATTTATGACAAATAGTTAAAAATTCTTATAGCTCGCCGACTTTGCTGGGGCGTGGGGCTCTGCTGACAGCTCTTGGTAATTTGCACGCGTCGCCCAACAAACAATAAACGACAATTGCGTTGCCTTAAGCTAGTTTTATCATTGATCGCTTGTCGCGCCAGTCGCAGGCTTGTGTTGATTCCTCAAGTACACGTTAGGTAAAACCCTCGATAACACTGTCAAGAAATGGCCAAGACGGCATGGCAGGGTATGCTGAGATGTAGGTTACTCTACCCTAACTGAGATTTAAAGCGAACAGATAAATATATGATTGTGCCCACTTGACGAGAAGTATGTAAATATAAACCAAAATTTGAATGAGTTTGTTTTATATTACAGAGAGAAACATATATAAACAAATTTGAAAAAATTGAAATATGTTTATGTAATCAGACGAAATATAAATATAAAATTGCATATGCTTGAATGAGTTTAAAATTGTTATTAAAATATTATTTAATGTTAAATATAAAGTTTTGTCAGAATATATTAAAAGCAGAACATATATGCGTGTGTTTTCGATTTGTACTTCATATGAATAAACGAATATCAATTGTTTTTAATTTGTATTGATTCTTAAGCATAATTAACCTACTTAATACACATTATAATAAAAGAGGTTTTTTAATAATATAGAGCATATTTAAAACTAGTGTATTATAGTACATTATCTCATTTGTGAAAGAAAACCTTTTGTGTCTTATTTTAATAAGCAATTGAAACTCTTTTGTGTTCGCAACAATTCTTCAATTAAAAGAAATTGCATTCTACATTATTAAAGAATATTTTTAAATTCAGATGTTTTTCCACCTGTTTCAATTTAATTTTGAATATTGAAATTTTACTGCTGTCTTTTTTTGTAAATGTTGGGGTTAGATTTTGTAAAGTTGAGTAAAGTCTTGAAGTGTTTAATATATACATATATAAGCATTTTTTTGTATATACTTAAATAAATTCTAATTGCAATAAAGAACACACAGTTTTCGAGATAGATTTACCAAATTTTTCACTAATCATTCTTAGCTTATCATTTGATCAGATATGTATATAAATATCTATATATTGTACATACAATTAAGGGGAAATTTATATATATTGTGCATCGAAGTCACTTGCATTCAAATCAACTTTAAAGGCTATACAGTAAGGGAATATGCCTTGTCCAATATTTGATGCTTTTCTATATGGTGTCCTCTGAATTATCCCAATTACAGTTCATCATCGTCAATTCATAAAGTGCAAATATTTCACAAAGGTTTATGAAAGTGGAGTCAAGTTGCATTTCTATGTTAAATTTTTCTTGACCATTTTTCAGTATATATATTTGCTTTCTTAAAATATAAGATATTGTTATATCTAATTTATTTTGTTGCGATAAATTTCCCGAGTTACTTTAAGAAAATTCTGATCTGATTTTAACAAATATCTTTTATTTTACAAATAACAAATTTATACAACTTTTATTTATCACAAACGCAGATATTACTTTAATCCTTTCCTGAGAAATTTACAAACTTTGACTTAGTCTGAAACAGTTAATGAATTCCATTTGCCAAAAACTATTTTCAGCTATAACAAATTTCTACTACTTCAAGATTGAATCACTAGGTGGTGGTCTATAATTTATATAAATACAAGATTACAAGATTTTAAATTTTCTACATGTTTTCAATTGTTGTAAAAAGTAACCTTTTAAATTTAATTAAATTTAAACAAAAATGTTTTGGTGTTTGCTACGATTTTTTAAATATGAACAACAAACTTGATGTTATCGTGCAGCTAAATGATGGAATATGTCAAATGCTAATTCACTGAAAACAACAACAACAACAACAACCATGGAAAGCTTAAATATAGTACTTACTGTGTCTGCCAGAGACGCGAACTGTTGCGCAAGCGTGCAGATACAGATATAAAATGCATTCGATTAGTATTAGAGTACAATATATATATATAGATGAATACATACATAAATGTATGTATATATTAAGAGGAAGGTTGGTCGTGGATAATCATGATGCATGACATTAAGCCAGCCGAGCGATGACATTCAAGTGTCGAGCATTGCGAGATGAGCAAAACAAGCCAAACAAAAATTTCAATTGCGGCCAACTTGTTTTCGATTAATTTGATAACGAGCTTCGGCATCGAGTTTGTTTTTTCTGTGTGACTGACTGCAAAATGTCAAATCAGAAACGAAAATCACGTTTTCGTTTTGAAGTCGGCCTAGTCATTAACGGAGATTCGGCTCTGCTCATAAATTTGAGGTGTTGCTGAAAAATTTCACTTTTCCATGTGCGGCACAGCAGCTGCGGCTAATGCCGATTGAAAAATAAACAATTTGCGGCACACACACACACACACAGTCTAATACATAAGAGGAGTACACACATGCTATATATATATGTAGTATATATATTTATATAGATATATGAGCTTTGCGAGCGACTCACGAGAGACTCACGCACATGTGAACGTGTCCAACTCCAAATCAAATCTGTAGCCAAACTTGCGACTTGCTTGTGGAAAGTTGTTTGCTTTTGTTGTTGTTGTTGTTGTCTCTTTTAACTCAATTTGAGTCTGGAATTGCTGTTTGTTTGCTTGCTTTGTTTGTTTATACCTGTGTGTATTTTTAATGTTGTTAAGCTTCAAGCCAAGCAACCAAAGCGATTCCCAACAACAACAACAGATGCAAAGACTTAATCATTATTAACCGCAAATACCGCAGAAGCAACAAGTTTGATCAACCTCTTACATCTGTATGTACATATATACACTGCTAATAATACCTACATCGAGTACAGTAAATGAAGTCTTCAAGGCGGCAGATGATACAAACTAATTTTTGTTCCCTTTGCTAACCACATAACACTCGGAATATGATTGCAAAGTTTCAATGCTAAAACTATTGATAAAATCAAACTTTTCTATTTAAAAATTCCAGGAGAAAATCGCATACCGAATTTTTTGTTTAATTTTAAGTTGAATTGATAAGAGTCCAGTAGATAAAAGACTTATCAAATGGACATTATCGAAAAAAAAATGAATGTTGGCGACAAACTGATAGCAAGCAGTGTACCTAAATTTGCTTCTTTTTCTTTTAATTGAACAGGTGAGCAAATCAATAATTGATTTTCTAGAACTTTCTAAACACTGCAAAAATCAAGTCAAGTGAATCAGTTTCTAAGTATTGAGTAACATAAAAAATACAATATTATTCAAGGCAAAGTAAATAGTATTTAAATTCGTAAAATAATTGGATTGAAGCTCGTTTAAATCTCATTAAGCCAAAGCTTAGCTTATCTATCCTATTCATTTGCCTATTTCACAAATGTCTAATGTCCTAGCTACATTTGAAATCGAAAAATGATTTTTATCTGATTTAATTTTCTATGTAGAAATATGTGAGAATTCTTTCTATAATGTTAATCGCCTGGTTGTACCTAAAATTTTTTATATTTAAAAAAAAGAAGCTTTCATTAAACGGCAATCAAATAATTTTAAGAGCAGATAAATTATTTTTAGTTTCGCTTCAGTTACTGGAGGTTAGCTGGCTGGGTTAAAGATTAATTTTGTAATTATGGACAAATTGCAATTACGAATTGTATTTAATATCGATGTACACCAGGACTAAGATTTGCTTAATTTAATATCGTTTTGCCTCCATACATGCGTCCCTCGTAGCAAGTGCACACTTTTCTGGTAAGTCTTATCTCGGTTAATGTAATTGAAATCTCAACTTGCCATCGATAAGCTGTCATTCGCAGATGCGAAGCCTATTTTCACATGAGAAAAGTGTTTATACATTCATTATAATAGGTTTACAAGTGGAGCCCCTTAAATGCGGCAATAAGTGAGCCGCTACATGGTCGCACGAAATTGATGCATGAATGAAACTTTTCGATTTCGGAATCGAATTTTTGCTGCACGTGTGGTCGGCGGGTCTGGCAACTGACGATAAAAAAATGAAAAAATACAAAATACAGAAAAAAAAAAGCAGCCTTATAATTAATGTGCGAGAACAACTTTCCAACGATCAATGACGCGGCAGCCGTTGTGACTGCGATCGTCATCTCCGGCATGAAGCCGACCATGACTCGAAATAAAAATGAAAGTGCTCGACCCGCCAGCTGTTGATCAAGGGCCACTGTCGGTTATTAGCCGCGATTTAACCGATGGCAGCTAATCTGGCCACATTCATAAGTACCACACATGTAACCCGAAACGTCTGCATTCGCGGCTATGATGGGATATGATTAATAAGTTTCGCACGCTTACTTATTGAGCGCCCCGCCGGGCCACGTAGAAAGTAGTATCTGACAAATCTTTAAAAAACAAAACGGTCCACCGACCAATAAACAAACAGGTTGATCGCCATCGATTTCGAGGTCGCCCTCCATGCAGCATAGGAATTACGCATCGGATGCACATAAATATGTATTTTTATGCCTGAGGCCACATTGAACATGTATAAAATAAAGGGCTTAAATGATTTACTAAAAACGCAAGACATCCGGTATATATGCATATAAGTTCCTCATCTATTAGTCTATTTGTTTCAAGAGACTTGGTAAATACTAAAATTTTAAAGGGTATTCAGACTATTTAGCAACAATCTTTAATCGATGTGTTTCCAAATC